GGCTCCGCGGCGCCCTAGGGGCGGACGCCCCCCTTCGCGACCGCCAGGAGCTCCGGGCGGCACGGCGCCACCGCGAGCGAGGCGTCGCACTCGCACAGGCCCTCGGTCTCGAGAATCTCGGAAAGGGCCCCGACAGGGCACAGATCAGGTCGACGCGGCTGCGGTCTGGCGGCTTCTGCGGCGGCCGCGAGCCCCCCCCGCGCGGCCAGAGCATTGAGCGCCGCAGCCGCTCGGACTCGAAGACGCCGCTGCCCCAGATCAGGAAGAAGCGGACCATCGGCGCCAGGGGGCGCCGCACTGCGCGAATCGGCAAGCTCCGGCAGGGCCAAATGAAAAAGAACACTTGGACGGCGGGCGGCCATCTCAGCCCGGCGAGGCGGCGGCCAAGGGGATCGCGGGCCAGGCCACCGATCACGTCTTTGGCCCGTCCTTCTCGCGCCTGTCCGTCTCCTCTGCGAACAGCCGCAACTGCTTGAGCGTGAACGCCTCCGTCTTCTGCTCCTCTGCGATGAACTTCGCGAAGTCGCCCGTGGCGGCCGCTGATCCTGAATCCAGAGCCGATGCAGCAATCATCATCTCCAGCCCCCTGAAGTCGGGGCTATTCGGCGATCTCCGCACGGCTCTCTCGATAAACATGACACGGCGCGCCAGCATCTCCAACCCCGCAGGCCGGTGGACCTCGAGGTGGTCGAAGCAGAGCGCGCGGTGGAAGATGCCGAGGAGGGGGGCGCGGCGGTGGGCCACCGCCAAGTCCTGCGGACCCAGAAGTCGCGGCACGTGCCCACCGCCCCCCTGTCGAGCGGATCATGGCCACGAGCTCGACCGCCGCGCTCGGACTCCTGAAAGGCCAATCCGAATCGGCGGTCGACCCGGCGAACCCCCCAGCGGGGCCAGCTGGGGTCCGCTTCTGGAGGACCGCCATCGCCTCGCGGAACTCGATGCACCGGCGGCCCTGGCCACCCCTGACGATTGGCATCACGCGCGGGGCGCGACCCGCGCCAGATTTCTTCTCCTCCTTCCAATCCTTCAGGTCCGCCGGCGCGACGCGCTCCAGGGCCGTCCAGCGGTCGGCGACGAGGCCGAGGGCCGCCGACCCGCGCTGCACGAAGCTAGTCGGGTTCCCCGTCACCGCGGGCTCGAACTGCTCGCCGAACTGGTGCGCGCCCGCGCCCGCTATGACCTAGACCGCCACGCCTCGCCCTGGGCCTGGGGACGCCGCGACCCCTCCGATCAGCACGGCCAGGGCCTCACCCTGCTGCTGAAGAGCCTGGAGCTGGTCCTCCGCGAGGTCGCCAGACATGCAGATGTTCCCGCGGACTCCGGGTGGCACCTCGCGTCCCCGCGGGAGCGGCACCACCCCGTGGTTCGCGAGATCCAGCACCTCCACTTTGTAGTCTGGAGTCGAGACCACCCACTTCGTGCCATCCCTGACCCTGTTGAGGAGGAGGCGGCGGTGCCAGGTGAAGTGGTCGTCGTCCAGGAAGTCCATGGCCACCTGCGGGTTGCCCAAGTCCAGCGCGGTCTCGCGAGCTCGCGCTAGCACGTCCGATTTATCTTGGGCCGCCAGACCTCCTGCTCCGATGGCGTCTGCAGCCCCGGGGGGGCCCCTGGGCTGGAGCGTCCACCGTCACCCAGAGCAAGCAGGCCAAACCCAGGAGTCGGAGGCCCCGCCACCAGCGCTGGCCCGACGGCGGCGCGGGCGGCCAATGGGAAGCAAACCCTCGCGACGCCCTCCGCCGCGGCCGCGAAGCGGCCGATGCCCCGCCGGGAGCACGCGCGGGCCGCCCACCAGAGCAGCCCCGCGCCCGCGAGGGAGAGCCCAATGAGTACCCACAGCCCCAGCCTGGCGCCGCGCGCCGCGGGGCAGGCCCGGGCACAGAGGTCGGAGGTGCCTGCGGGCAGGAGGCGGGCGGGAAGACCGGCGCTGGGCAGACTGGCCGCGGGCAGTGGTCCAGCTCGCGCGCCACGACGCACGGCGCGGGCTCCGGCGCAGGGTGGCGGCCCGTCAAGCCACCCAGGCGCGACCCGGCGAACCCAGCAATCGCGCTGAATGCGGGGTTCGTGGCGCAACACCATGGCACACCATCAATATAAATATATATATATACATATATAGATACATGCATACATGCATACATGCATACATGCATACATGCATACATGCATACATACATACATACATACATACCTACCTACCTACCTACATACATACATACATACATACATGAACCACCGCGGGCATCTACCTCGATCGAGAAGAAGGAGAGGAGAAGGACGAGGAGGAGGAAGAGGAGGAGGAGGGAAAAAGGAAAGAAGATTTCGTCGTCGCCGCTGACGTCTCACAGATATTCGTGGTCTTTGGACCACCCGAGGCATCTCCTCGAATTCAGCCTCCAAGAACCGTTTTCGGTGCCAGGGACCACCGCCGAAAGTCCGGGATGAGGATCGACCTCCCTTGCCGGTGCCACCCCTTCGCAAAGGAAGGAACACGGGGTGGATCGAGGCTCGAGGCATGCGACTCCTAGTTCTTGGGCGCTCTCCGCCCCCTCTGGGCCTTCAGGAGGCTTCTCGTCGACACGGCTGGGTCCACTCTCGAACTTCTGGCAAGACGCAACCCCAGCTGGGTCTCAACGATCCCCGAGCCTATCCAGGAGGTGGAAAAGGAGGCCTGGGACAGGCCCCGTGAAGGCCCCGAGAAACTCACATAAGACCACGAAAAACTTCAAAACAATCCATTGCAAGGCCCCCCCTTGAACCCCACACGCTACGTAGGACAGGACGAAACCCCAAGATTGCCCAGACATCGCGCGCGTTCCGCGAATTCTGTCTTTCACTCTTGCTGCCGCCCCAAGGGGTCGGCGGTGCGGCGTAAGCCAATTCATCATCATCATCATCATCATCATCATCATCATCATCATCATCATCATCATCATCATCATCATCATCATCATCATCATCATCATCACCAGCATCGTCGTCGTCGGCATCACCACAACCATCATCATCATCATCATCATCATCATCACCATCGTCATCATAATCATTATCATCACCATCATCATCATCATCATCATCATCATCATCATCATCATCATCATCATCATCATCATCATCATCATCATCATCATCATCATCATCATCATCATCGACATCATCGACATCATCATTATCATAATCAGCACCATCATCATCATCAGCAGCATCATCATCAGCATCATCGTCATCATCATCGTCATCGTCATCGTCATCATCATCATCAGCATCAGCATCATCGTCGCCGTCATCATCACCGTCACAACCATGAGCATCATCACCATTACTTCCAGCAGCATCATCAGCAGCAGTAGCATCACCAGCACGATCATCAGAAGCAGCAGCGCCAACACTCGCATCATAAAATCCTATTCGACCTCCTGGCGAAGGCGGCTTGGGGTCTCGGCCCATCCGAAACGGTCCTTTCTTCCAAATGCGGGGCAAGGTTTGGTCATCCTCTACCCCCTGCCTTGGGGCCTGAACAGGCGCACTCGCAACAGCAATTCGGGCGCCTGAGACGGCCCAGGATGGATCCACGGTGGATCCCGACAGTCCAAGATGGCCTTCAAGAGATACCAACAAAATAGCCCTTGGCTGACCCCCGAACTCCCCAAGGATGCCCTCAAGAGGCCAGAATCACTTAGGAAACATCTAGCATCCGAATACTTTTGCCCAAACTGCACCCAAGAGCACCACAAGAGAGCAGCCCAAGCGGCACCGGCTATGCTCTCAAGGGGGCCCCAAGAGATCTCCGAAAAGAGAGCCCCGAAGCCTCCCGAGGGCCCCGACGGAGCCGGGCTTGCCGCAGCCCGACGAGCCGATAATTTCTCGGCCGTCCTCCTCCTCCTCCCCTCCCTCCTCCTCCTCCTCCTCCTCCTCCTCCTCCTCCTCCTCCTCCACCTCCTCCTCCTCCACCTCCTCGTCCTCGTCCTCGTCCTCCTCGCCTGGCTCGTTCACCACGTGCGTCTCCGCTCCCTGCGTCGCGACAGCTCGCCGGCGGAATCCGCCCTGGGCGGGCCGGCGGCGCCCCCGCGGGGCGCCAGGAACCCCGCGCTCGAGCGCCCTGGGGGCTGGCTGGGCAGCTCGCCCAGCCTCGCACCAGGGGCCAGCGCACAGCGCGCCAGCGCGGCCCCCGGGAGGCCCCGCGGGGCGCCTGCAGGGGGCCCCGCGCCCGCCAGGGCCCAGAGGGGAGAAGAAACTCTGCGAGCGAAGAACGGTATAAAATAAACTTTCTCCCTGTCGGGGACACCTGCCCCTGGGCGGCTGGAAAGTTTATACCCCTACGGTGCCACCGGAAGGGTATAAACTTTCCAGCCGCCCAGGGACAGGCGCCCCCGACGGCGAAAAAGTTGATTTTAAACCGATCTTCGCCCGTTAAGAAACCAGACGCCGAGAGGAGAAGCAACCCCACAGCTGCACGCATCGGGGGAGGCCAAGGGAGCAGCGAAAACCGCAGGAGGGGGAAGAAAAAACACCCTCCTGACAAGCACCCCGAAAGAGCGAGGCCTTCCGCAGACGCACCCGGGCAAGGGGTCGACCGGGGCAGGGCGGCTTCGTAAGCGCCCAATGCTGTCTAGTGAACGACGCTTGTGGGGGTCGGGGTGCTTTTCGTCCCCTGGAACCGCTACTCCCCGGACCTCTCCAGGGACGCGCTCTGGCCAGCATCTCGAGGAGAACCAGGCCCTGGCGACGAGGGCTCGCCAGGACGAGCCGCCGCACCGCCTGGAGTCTTGACTACCTACCAGACCACCCCAACCCAACCCGGAGGCCCGAATTTCGGGCTGGGGGGTTAAGGGTTCCATACGTGTTTTTTCGATGTTCCGCGAACCCCCCCCCCCACTGGAAATGAAGGGCAAATCTGAGCCTTCGGGTTGGGTTGGGGTGGTTTGGTGGGTGGTGACATCTGGGAGGTCTGGCGGTGGACAGCGGGGCGGCGGCGGCGGCGGTGGCGGCGGCGGCCCGGGGGCCTGCTTCATGTCCGGCCAGCGCCGCGCGATCTCGTCCGCGAAGCCCCGCACCGCCTGCGGGCAGGGGGCGCAGGCGTGCCGCGCGGCGGGCGGGGGGCGCGAGCGCCTCGCTCGCCCCGGGCGGCGCAGCTCGCGCCGCGCGGCGGCCCGAGGCGGCGGGCGCCTCGTAGCCTGAGCCTTCTCTGCTGCCCACGAGGGGCCGTGGGCGCGCGCCCTACCCCCTCCTCCTCCTCCTCCTCCTCCTCCCTCCTCCTCCCCTCCTCTCCTCCTCCTCCCCTCCCCTCCCGCTCCTCCGCTCCTCCCTCCTCTCCTCCTCCGCTCCCCTCCTCTCCCCTCCGCCCCTCTCCCCCCTCCTCCCCTCCTCCTCCCTCCTCCGCCTCCTCCTCCTCTCCTCTCCCTCTCCTCTCCCCATCCTCCTCCTCTCACTCATCATCATCATCATCATCATCATCATCATCATCAGCAATCATCATCATCCATCACATCATCATCATCATCATCATCAACAACACCACCACCATCATCAACAACACCTCCACATCATCATCATCATCATCATCATCATCATCATCATCATCATCATCATCATCATCATCATCATCCTCATCCTCATCCTCATCCTCATCCTCTCATCATCATCATCATCACATCATCATCATCATCAACAACACCTCCACCATCATCAACAACACCAACCACCATCATCATCATCATCATCATCATCATCATCATCAACAACACCTCCACCATCATCAACAACACCTCCACCATCATAATCATCATCATCATCATCATCATCATCAACAACAACACCTCCACCATCATCAACAACACCTCCACCATCATCATCATCATCATCATCAACAACACCTCCACCATCATCAACAACACCTCCACCATCATAATCATCATCATCATCATCATCATCATCAACAACAACACCTCCACCATCATCAACAACACCTCCACCATCATCATCATCATCATCATCAACAACACCTCCACCATCATCAACAACACCTCCACCATCATAATCATCATCATCATCATCATCATCATCAACAACAACACCTCCACCATCATCAACAACACCTCCACCATCATCATCATCATCATCATCAACAACACCTCCACCATCATCAACAACACCTCCACCATCATCATCATCATCATCATCATCAACAACACCTCCACCATCATCACCAACACCTCCACCATCATCATCATCATCATCATCATCATCATCATCATCATCATCTCCCTGGCTCCACTTTCCTTCCCCTCAGCGCCATCTCCCGCCTGCACGGCGGCGCCTGTCGCCTCTCGCCTGTCGCTCGACGCGCATACAGTTGGGGCCGCGGACACGTGAAAGCACGTGCCCCGCGCGAACGCGCCAGGCGCTTGTTGGGTCCCCCCCCTACGCGCACGCATTGTCACGTGTAGAGAATCCGACGCGCCCAAGTTGGGCCCCCCCCCCCTTGGGAGCCGTGGGCACACTTTTGATTCGCGGGTCGAGAGCGCACCTCTCCCGGTCGAAGCTAAGCGGGCCGCGCGAAGCTTGAATTCACAGCGAGGGGGGCAGAAGGGGGCCGTGGACACATGAGAACGCGTGCCCCACGCGCACGCGCCAGGCGCATGTTGAACCTCCCCCCCTTCCGCGCCCGAAATTTCACGCGCAGAGAACCAGACGCGCCCAAAGTCGGCCCCCCCTTGGGGGCAGTGGACACGTGAAAGCACGCGCCCCGCGCCCACGCGCCAGGCGCAGGTTGGGTCCCCCCCCCCACGCGCACGTATAGTCGCGTGTAGAGAATCCGACGCGCCCAAGTGGGGTCCACCGACTGAGAGCCGTGGACACGTGAGAGCGAGTGCTCCGCGTGCACGCTCCAGGCGCATGCTGCCCTCCCCCTCCCCCTCCGCGCACGTGTCGTCACGTGTACAGAGAGTCCGACGCGCCCAGACCGGGTCCCGCGCTGGGGGGCCGACGACACGTGAAAACACATGCCCCGCGCGCAGGCGCCAGGCGCATGTTGGGCCCACTCCTCCGCGCATGTGTTTCAACGCGTAGAGAATCCGACGCGCCCAAGTTGGGTCCCCCCCTAGGGGGCCGTGGACACGTGAGGACGCGTGCTCCGCGCGCACGCGCCATGCGCATGTTGAGTCCCCTCCCCCCTACGCGCACGCATTGTCGCGTGTAGAGAATCCGACGCTCCCAGCTTGGGTTCCCCTTAGGGGGCCGTGGACACGTGAGGACGCGTGCTCCGCGCGCACGCGCCATGCGCATGTTGGGTCCTCCCCCCCACGCGCACGCGTTGTCGCGTGCAGAGAATCCGACGCTCCCAACTTGGGTTCCCCTTCGGGGGCCGTGGACACGTGAGGACGCGTGCTCCGCGCGCACGCGCCAGGCGCATATCGGGGATCTTCTGACCTGGGTCAATCCAGACCTGGGTCAGCAAGAAAACAAAAAACTGCAACGCAAGACAAAAAAACTGCAACGCAGGTTTTCGCAAACCCGCGTCAGCCAATATGCGCGGCCGCCTCGCGGCCGCAAGCGGCTCGCTAACCCGGGTCAGCCAGAGGGGGTCGTCGCAGGATCATGCAAGATCTGGCGCTCTGGCTGACCCCCGTTTGCATTGACCCCCGTCTCAAGGCTCCCGAACATATTGGGCCCTCCCCCCTCAGCGCACATACTTTTCACGTGTGGAGAATCCGACGCGCCCACCCCTCGGCGATCCTCCGACTCCATCAGCTCGGACCCCGTCCTGGAGGCCTAGACCGAAGGGGCCTGGGTGGCGCACGCAAGAGCTGGGGAAACCGACAGGTACCGATACCACTACTCCCCAGCAGCGCGGGGGAGGAGGAGGGAGGAGGAGGAGGAGGAGGAGGGACCTCTCCGAGGAGGAGGAGGAGGAGGGGGAGGAGGAGGAGGAGGAGGAGGAGGAGGAGGAGGAGGAGGGAGGAGGAGGAGGAGGAGGAGGAGGTACCAACTGCTCCCCAGACCTCTCCTGGGGTGCAGCTGGCAGCAGCGCGCGCTCTTCGCGGGCCCGGCGGGCCTCTGGAGGATCGGTGTACGCGCGCAGCCTCAAGGGGGGGGGGTCGCCGGGCAGGCCAAACCGGGGCGCGCGGGGTGCTCCCAGGTGGAGAGCAGGGGGGGAGTTCTTGTACTTTGCGCCCTCCTTGAAGGCGCACGTCCGAACCGAACATATAGCACGCGGGAAGAGTGACGAGCAAAGGGGGAAAGAGTGAACGCAAAGAGTGACGCGCAAAGAGTGACGAGCAATATAACATACAGCACCCCGCAGTTGCGGGAAAGAGTGACGAGCGCTGGGGGAGTCGCGGGTGGGTCGCGGGGTGGGTCGCGGGGTGGGTCGCGGGGTGGGTCGCGAGGTGGGTCGCGGGGTGGGTCGCCGGTGGGTCGCAGGGGGGGCCACGGGCGAGGACGAAGACAACAACGCAACAGCAACGATCCGCACCGCGGAACCCCACTTCAGCTACGCGCAGAGGGACAGTGAAAGACCGTTCAGCTCTATCACTCTGACAGACATATTATGATATCTTCCTCGGCGCCCGCCACCGACCGTACACGCTGGTCGGAAGAAGTAGGTAAAAACATGAAGTAGGAAGGCGGATAGAGTAGATTGCGTTCAGGCCCTCTCAGAGAGTAACAAAACGAAGCAGAGGCATGCCGATTATTGCAGCAGGAAGGCGCGTGAAGTAGATTGGGATCTGGGAATCCAAAAATATCTACTTTCTCAACGACCGGCGTGCATACTATACGACTGAGCGCGCGCGACGCCCCTTTGGGGCAACGCACGCACAGACAAGCATGTTCGAGCAATACCGACCAAATCCCCGACGATACGACTTGTGTTCAGCAAGCGTCTTTCCCTCGATTTCGGCCTCCCGGGGGGGCCCCTTGGGCCGCGCCGTCGTCGTCACCGTCGTCGTCGCCTCCGCCGCCGCCGCCGCCGCCTTCGTCGTCGCCGCCGTCGCCGTCGTCGCGACGCCTTCGTCGTCGTCGCCGTCGCCGTCGCCGTCGCCGCCTTCGTCGTCGTCGTCGCCGCCGTCGCCGTCGCCGCCGCCGCCGCCGCCGCAGCCGCCGCCGTCGTCGTCCGTCCTCGGAATCAAGGCTGGCACCGCACCGCGTCCAGCGGTCGGGGGGCGGGGCGGCGGCCCCGCTCCGAGAGGGTCGGGCCCGGGGCCCCGGGGCGGGCGGCGCAAGGGGGGTACAGCCAAGGGGGGGGGGGGGGGATTCCCTCCCCCTCCTCCTCCTCCTCCTCCTCCCCCTCCTCCTCCTCCTTCTCCTCCTCCTCCTCCTCCTCCTTCTCCTCCTCCTCCTCCGCCTCCTCCTCCTCCTCCGCCGGATGCAGCTGGCTTTCCAGACGCCTCACGACGCCAGGAGGGGCCGTGCCCGGCCGCGGTGCCGAAGCCGGCGGGGCCGAGACCAGCGGCACGCAGCAGGCTTCGAGCACCCCCTCCCTCCCTCCCTCCACGCAGCCTCCCTCCCATCCGTGCGACACGCCGGCTTCCACCCAGGGAGGCTGCGACCAAGGCCCCACCCTCCCCCACCCCTCCTGCCCTCACCCTTCCCCCCCATCCCTTCCCCCCCTCCCCCGCCGCTTCAGGGAGGAGGGGAGGGGGAGCCCCCTCCCACCCGTGTCCATCCCAATGCCCACCCCCCTCCTCCCCCCTCATCCGTGCCGCCCCCCCTCCCCGGACATCAATCGGTGGGATTTTCCCAGCGCCCGTGGCCCTGGAGGAGACGATCGCCTCCCCAGGGGCAGCTTTGCGCCCCCGGGCCCGTTTTCTCATGGCTTCCGGGGCCCGAAGCTGGCCCCCAGATCATGTGGTCTTTCACGGGCTGCGGAAGAACGCAGGGTGAAGAAACGCGTGCCTTTCGCACACCTTTTTCGCGCCCCCCGTCCACGTGTGCTGCCCCCCCGCTGCCGCCCGCCCGACCAAGGAGGCCCAAACGCCAGACGGAGGAAGAGCGCGGGGACTGGGAAGCTCACTGCGCCCGAAGTCTGGGCGTCGCGCCGGGGATCGGACGCGGCCTCGGGGTCGCGGCTGATCTGCAGCTCCGCGACGAAGCTGGGCACCTCGCCAGCGCGGCCGGCTGCGGCCCTCCTCCTCCGCCGCCGCCGCGGGCCTCCTCGATCTCGACGGGGGGGCCCGAGATCCGGGCACGGCTGTTTTCGCCCTGTTGAGGGCACCCAGACCATCGCAGATCGATCCGGCTGGAAAAGATACAGCAGAGAGATTGGATCGGGTCGTGGATTTTCGCGATGGCGTATTTTTTGAGCGTCGGAAGTCAGGGGAAAGAGAGCCGAGAGCGAAAGAGGGGCACAAACGACCGCAATCACAGACCAGACAACGGGTTAGGAGCACGGTCAACCAGGTCGCAGGAGGCTCCCGCCCCACATCCCTCTTCCGAACTCCTCCTCCTCCTCCTCCTCCTCCTCCTCCTCCTCCTCCTCCTCCTCCTCCTCCTCCTCCTCATCTTCTCACTATGATTAGTATTATTAGTACTAGAACTATTCTAGTATTAATGATACCAATTATATTATTCGTACTATTATCAATATTGGTAGGATCACTGATACCATTAAGATTATTATAACTCGTATTATTCGTATTCGATTTATCATTAGTACTGTTTTCATATTCTTGTCCATAGTATTATCATGTTTAATATGATTGTGATCCTTGTTCGTATTTTTAAATGATCATTATCACTCTAAGTAGTATGAGTAGTATTACGCTTATTGTTGTGACTCGTAGTACTCTTCTCATTGGTAGCATTAGTATTGCTCTTCATCTCCGTAATAATACTCTTCTGATTAGTGAATTGCGCATTCTTAATACTAGTAGTGATATGATCATTCCTTTTAAATGCGATGAATGTTCTCAAAGTCATTGATAGTTGTGTTCGTCTTCTTATCATTCTTATTCGTCTTATTAGATTTATTAGTATGTATTATGATAATGATGATTCCTACTATGTTCTCAATGATTAGTCTAAATATTATCATGATTAGTCTTATGAGTACGATTATTTACTACATCGTAAGATTATAGTAGCATGATTAGTCTTAATAGTATTATTCAGACTTAAGAGTAGTCTTAATTGGTGTGGCTATTATTATTATACTCATAGCATGGTTAGTCGAACATCGTCCTTATATCATTATCTTATCAAGATTAGTCTTAATTTTATCATTAAGGATTTGGATTATGTACTATCATGACTCGTCTTAATAGTATGATGATTATTACTATGTTCTTACGACTCTTATTATTATTGGAGCTTGCCTCTGTGGGGGTCCTGGCGGATTCATGTGTACGTGACCTACGCCGCCGACTTCGGTTGCCCGGCCCGGGGGGGCAAGGTGCCCAAGGGCGCCCGGGTGCCCGGGTGCCCGGGTGCCTGGGGGTACCCGGAGCTCGGGGTGCCCAGAGGTGCCTGGGGTTGCCCGGGTGCCCAGGTGCCCAGGTGCTTTATCGCCTTATAGCCCGTTAGCCCAATAGCCCAGATAGCCCAATAGCCCATATAGCCCTATAGCCCTATAGCCCTATAGCCCTATAGCCCTATAGCCCTACAACCCTGTAGCCCTACAGCCCTACAGCCCTTTAGCCTTCTAGCCCTATAGCCCTATAGCCCTATAGCCCTATGACCCTATAGCCCCATAGCCCTATAGCCCTATAACCCAATAGGCCAATAGCCCAATAGCCCATATAGACCTACAGCCCTATGGCCCTATAGCCCTATAGCCCTATAGCCCTTTTGCCCTACAGCCCTATAGCCCTACAGCCCTGTAGCCCTGTAGCCTTATAGCCCTATAGCCCTATAGCCTTATAGCCCTAACCAAATTATGATTGGGTATTTTTTCCCCGGTATCATTATTCATATTATCAATACTAGTATAATACGAGTATTAGTTTTATAATACTACTATCAACCGTGATCGCCCTATTATCATCATTCGTCTGATTAGTAGTGTTAGTCTTATTACTACTCTGATTATCATTGGTCTTATTCGTATTTTTAGTCTTATGTTTATTAATACTAGTGTGATTATTATTACTATCATCACTGTCAGAATCATGTTTCGTGTTATCATGCATGACAACATTATCATCCGTTGCATTACCATTCGTATTCTTATTATTCCTCCTCCTCGTCCCCCCTTTTCCGCCTCTTCCTCCTCTTCCTCCTCCTCCTCCTCATCCTCGTTGTTTTCCCCTCCTCGGGGTTTTGGGATTCCTGGTCGTCTGGATTGCGAATTCCTTGGCACATGGAATTCAGATTTCTTCGAATGTTTGAATATGTGTCTTGCTTGCGGCCAGAACACAAAATGGTGGTGGAACGAGGGTGCACGGGAGTCCTGGCCGCTTGGGTTGCGAAGTATATGGCCCATCGGTTGCCTGCAAAAGTTGGTAGCTTAAAATGTTCAATCAATTGGGGATGTTGCAATACCCTCGTTAAGCATAGAAGGTAAAAAGAACGAATGCGATGGAGACCGTTCCCTTTTTTATGGGTGGCGGTCCCAGGGGCCCTGTACGCAGGGCACCTCTCACTCTCAGGAACTTGATGCCCCAGGGTGGTTACGGGTGGGATGTGCGGAAACGGCCGATCGCCTGAACCCAAATGGCCACACGTCGGGCAGAGAAGAGGATGCACAGTCATGTTGGCACACTGGGGTACATCCTCGATGGGCCCCACTAGCGGTGCGGTAGCGGCAAAAGGGAAGACTGAAGTGACGGCGATTCCCTTTTTTATGGGTGACGGTGCCCGGCGCCCTGTACACAGGGCAACTGCCATTCCCAGAAATTCGATGCCCCCTCTGCGATGGGAGTGACTCATCCGTAAAACCACGGGGGGGGTGATAGGGGCCTGGAGAATGAGAGGCGGATGCCGGGGCCCCCGCCCCCGGACACTGCTAGTGGGCCCGCCAGCCGCCATCTCCCCGCGACCCTGCTCTCCATTTTTTTGTGACCCCGCCACCACTGCACACCGCTCGCACACGAACGAAGGCCGAGAGACGCGGTCTCGAAGCCCCGCCCAGCTCCCATGAGTCTCCCCGCGGTCGAAAGCCCAACCGGACCCCCGCCCGCGCCCGCGGCAGGGGCGCGGGGGGCCCCCGGGAGGACGGATGGGGGGGGGGGCCCCCGTGGCGGGGGGGGGGCCCACCGTGGCAGGACCCCCCAGAGCGAGCGGGTACATTTTAGTCAGCGGCCGCGTGCGAGCGCGCCGGCGGCGAGTCATGTCAAAGCGGGCTACGCAGAGACCAGCTAGGCAGAGGAAACACGAGAAGCAGCGAGCGAGCGGATACGAGACCGCCCCGAGGACGCGCCTGAAGGCGGCTCCAGGGCCTTTCTCCGGCCTCTTGGGGGCCCCCCCGAGCTTGGGGGCCGCCCCAGGCCAGGCCCCCGCTCCCACCACGAGGGCCCCGGCCCGCCGAGGCGGCCGCCGGGTCCCCACAGAGGGAGTGCGGAGGAGGAGGAAGAGGAGGAGGAGGAGGAGGAGGAGGAGGAGCAGGAGGAGGAGGAGAAGTAAGAGGAGGGGGAGGAGGGGGAGGGGAGGGGGAGGAGGAGGAGGAGGAGGAGGGGAGGAGGAGGGGAGAGAGGAGGAGGAGGAAGAGGAGGAGGAGGACGGCAAGGAGGAGGAGGAGGAGGAGGAGGAGGAGGAGGAGGAGGAGGAAGAGGAGAAGGACGACGGGAAGGAGGAGGAGGAGGAGGAGGAGAAGGAGGAGGAGGAGGAGGAGGGCAAGGAGGAGGGGGAGGAGGGGGGAGGGGCCCTCTGGCGGGGGGAGGTGCGAGGCACCAGCGCGGCAGGTGCGAGGCACCGCCTCTTTTTGGGCCGCTCGCGGGCTGCCCGCCACCTCGGCGCTGCGGCGGGCCCCGCTCTGCCTGCGCGACCTCGCCCGCGGCGAGCGGAGCGGGGCTGCCCCCACGGAGCACGGAACGCCGACAAAACGCGCCGACCCCCCCCCCCCCCCCACCCACCCTTAGCTAACCCTTAGCTACCCCCTTAGCTACCCCACCCCCCCCTTAGGTACCCCCCTTAGCACTCCCAGAGGGAGGGCCCCCCCCCTTAGCTACCCCCACCCTCCCCTTGGACCTCCCCTGCTGGACCCCCCCCCCTCGGAAGCTACCCCCGCCCCCTTCGCGCTCTGGAAACACGGACCACGGAACGTGGCGCCGACGACCCAAAACGCGCCGACACCCAAAAAAGGCACCGAAAGCCAAGGGAGCGCCGAAGACCAGAGGGCGCTGAAAACCTGAACGGCGCCGAAGGCCAAAGAGACGCCAAAACCCAGAAGGGCGCAGAAGACCAAAAAGGCGCCGAAGACCCAAAACGCGCCGAGATGCAACAGTGCGTCGAGAACTAAAAAGAGCGCCGAAAACCAAAGGAGCGCTGAAAACCAGAGGGGGATCGAAACCGAGGAGGCACCGAAAACCAAAAGGGCTCCGAAAACGAAAAGAGCGTGGAATACCAAAGGGGCACCGAACACCAAAAGGTCACCAAAAATCAACGATCGCCGAAAACCGTCGGCGATGTTGTTGAACTCTCATTATTGGAGAAAAAATCGACCCCCCCTCCGGTGACAGATATGTTTTTTATTGAAGTGCCCCTCCCGGGGCTCGCACCATGTTTTCCATCAGGGAAAATATTCCTTCTCAAACTCTGCCCCTGGCCCCCAGACTACAACAACAACGGCTCCCGCCTGATACGTTCGCGCATTCTACTGATAAATCGCGCTCTCGCAAGGGACCTCCTTAGATTAATCCCAGAATCGCGCTCTCGCCTGTGATTTCCTCGCGATTCAGTCTAGCGCCACGCCCTCGCCATTCAGGAATCGCGCTCTCGCCTGGGATACTCGTAATTTACACGGGAATCGCGCTCTCGCCCCAGATCTCTTGGCAAATTATGCAGGACCCACACATTCGCGTAAAGCACGCGTTGTGTCAATTAAAGAACCCCTCCCGGGCCTGCTGTGTTTTTACCGGGGAAAAACCTTCCTGCTCAAACTGTGCCCCTGGCCCCCGGTTTACAACAACTGCTCCCGCTGGACACTTCCTTGCAATGTATTGAGGAATCGCGATCTTGCTAGGGACTTCCGTGCAATGTATCGAAAAATCGCGCTCTCGCTTGATATTTCCTCGCAGTGTGTTCAGGCGTCGCGCTTTCGACACTCAGGAATCGCGCTGTAGCTTGGAACTTCCTCGCAATCTATTCCGGCGCGCGCCCTCGACACTCAGGAATCACGCTCTCGCTTTGAACTCCCTCGCGAGGTTTATTTTAGAATCGCGCTGTCGCGCTGCCCGTGCCCCCAGCCTCGGCCTTGGCCGCGGCCCCAGCCATGGCCCTGGCCCCGGCCCCAGCCGCGGCCCCAGCCCATGTCCCAATAGAGCCCAAGAGGCTCCCAAGAAAGCCCCAAGATATGCTCCAGAGCGTCAGCGTCCTCGTCGTCGCCGCCGCCGCCGTCGTCGTCGTCATCCCCCTTCAGGGTCGGCGGCACTGGCCGCGCCTTCCCAACTCCTCACGGTTGCACCCCAAGGCCAGTCGGAAGGGCGAGCCAGGCGTTTCGTCCGAGACTTCCTCACCCCTTATGATCCTGAAGCTTAAGAAGTAACAACAGTTTCACGGATGGAGGGCGGCGCAGACTTCCCAGCCGCCCTGGCAATGCACACGGTATCGCAATGTGCATCAGAAAATTCTGCCGTGGTGATTCGTATGGCTCGGAATGGCAAACCACATGGCTTGCCATACGGAACCGTGCGACATACGAAACCATATGACCACAGGGCTTTCAAAACCTTAGCGCCGCGCACACGGATCGAGGGTGGGTTGTTTTCAAAATTTGGCTCGCCATAGCTCCACGCACACTCGTCTTAACAAATTGCAATAGCTTCACTGGTTGAGGGCTGACCGTTTTCAAAATGTGGCTCTCGCCTCTTAGCACCACACACTCGTCTTGAAATTGGCAAGAATTTCACGGATTGAGGACGGGTCGTTTTTAAAGTGCGGCTCTCGCCTGAGCGCCGCGCACACTCGTCTCAAAAATCTGCACACATGTCACGGATTGAGGGCGGCTCCTTTTCAAAATGTGGCTCTCGCCTGAGCGCCGCACACATTCGTTTTAATAAATGCAAAGTTTTCACGGATTCCCATGGCTACCGTACCAGAACCTGCGTCCTGGAGCGATTCAGGATTGTCAGGGCGCACCAGTTACGTTGGTTCGCGGTGTTGACATCCCAGGAATAGTGTTCTGGCACGAGATCGTCCAGACGCAACAGTCAAGTTGATTCGTGGCATTCAAGTTCCAAGAGCGGTGTTTTGGCGAGCTTCATGATCTTCCAACGGTTGCCTCCCAATTGGGCACTTCCCTGAGTGGAAATGAACCCTGTAGAGGATTTACAGTGGTCTTCCTCCTCCTCCTCCTCCTCCTCCTCCTCCTCCTCCTCCCCGTCCTATCCCTCCCCCTCCTCACCTCCCCCCCTCTCTTCCCCTCCACTCTCGCCCGCAGGGGGGGGGGGGGCGGTCGCCTGGATCCCTCCGACGACGCCGTCCCTCAGGCGGGCCCACTCGCCCCTCCAGCCTCCAGCGCGCGCCGCGGGCCGCGGCCGAGAAGGGGGGGCGTCGCCGCCGCCGCCGCCAGGGGAGAACGCCGGCGCCGAGGGGGGTGGGGAAGAAGCAAGAGAGCCACCAGATGACACTCCGGCGAAGGGTCACTCTTACGTGTCGTCGAGTTTGTTCTTTGGCTCGATGATCCAGGATGCTCCTCGATGGCCCTCGCCGAGAGAAGCATGCACACGTCCGAGCGATGCCGAGACATGGGCCCTGCAAGAGCGCCAGGAGAGTCCGGAATCGAATCAACACGTCGGATCCACGATCGAAGTGAATCGGATCGGCGGAGATCGGCAGCCGAGTCGGGAAAGATCGAATCGGCAGACACCGGCAGGCTGGTGGGCCTCCAGTGAGGAATCGGAGCCCAAATCGGAATCCCAAGCCGGACCGAATCGAAATCGGAAACATCGGAATCGAATCGAATCGAGCCGAGTCGGAGGAATCGAAAGGAGCCCTGAAGGAGGACGAGCAAGAGGCCGGCCGCGCGCGGAAGGGGGCGGCGCGGACGGGAACGGCGCGAGAGGGGCAGAAGTAGAGGCGGACGACGACGACGACGACGACGACGACGACGACGACGACGACGACGCGTGCGGACCGGACACCGATGCGGATTCCTACGCGGACACCTACGCGGATCCCAATGCGCACGGCGGCAGTGCCCGGAGCGCACTGGGGGGGGAGCGTTACGTCTTGGGGGGGGGGGGGGGAGCGGGGGCCATGACGCCCGTCATGCCCCAAGCAATAAAGAAACGGGCTCGAGGAGGGAAGGCGTGTGAGATGATTGGCTGTCCCCCTCCCCCCTCCCCTGGGGCCAGAAATCGCAGCGGGGAGGGGAGGGGGCAGCGAGCTCGGCAAAGCACCGAAGCCCGAA